GAAATGGACACCAGGTGAGTACTGTCCACAAAAGTTGCGTCCAGGACTGGCCTAAAAGCAGGGGAGTTTGTGTCAGGAAGTCTGTGCTCGGAAGCCTACCCTGTGTGTCCCAGACAGAAGGACTCGAGAATATAGGGTTGCTTGGTCCGACTAACTCGAATCTTTTCATCCCGATCAGCGGTTGCCATCAGCTTTCCATCGGTACTTACTGCCTATAAAGGGTGAGGAATGCATAAGTATCTATGAAAGAACAGGAAACAATGTTAATTTTCAGGTATCAGGTATTAAAATTTCAGCGTTTATCTCGGCAACAAAAAATATTGTTGTTTGGGGCAACTTGATGTCTATCCTCGTGTTAACTGACGGTCAAGCTGGAACGGCTTCTTTCTGTAGTGACTATTATGGGTTCAAGGCGATGGTAAACGCATCGAGGTAGTTTAAATGTGCATTAAATTGTTCTCTTTAGTAGGAATGTACGTCGAGAGCCGTGGGGACGAACTCACATAGGCACACGTCCACCACTCGAGTCATCTAATGGGGGGGATAAGCTGTACATACTTGTACTTGTTACGGCTGCGATCATGCCTAATCTAGCCAACCTCGATGACGCCCGGCTTGTACCTCTACACATGTGACGAGCAGTGGCAACGGACCTAGAGAGTGCACGTCAGGAGGCCAAATACCAGAGGTTCAGGAACCGCTTTCATGTCCCGACGAACAGTGTCGAGACAGGTTTTGAGTTGACCCCCTCTTCGACGCCTCCAATTGGGTAACGGTGCTGGATCTGGGGCAGAAACACTGAGCTCGTGAGGCGGACGACGAAGGTGTAAAACCCACATCAGTCGTCTTCCTTGGATGGCCTGGGATATCCTTGCGATATTACCGCAGCGATTGTGGACTATCTCACTTGAGATGAAGTCAGTGTACTCTGTATTTGAAGGATGGTTATCATGAAGTGGTCAAATGCCTCCATTTTTATTCGTCTTTCATGCGCATACTCTACAATTTACAGCGATAGAGAAGTACAGACTGAGCGGGTGCACGGTGCGGGCGAATCCTTGCGGCCATGTCGAGTCGGGTCCACAGACACTTTGTGCGACTCGAAAAACCCGGCTAACAGCATCGGTTTCGCATACAATGTCGTCCTTACTCTATTCATTCACAGCAGTCTGGCCCCGAGGTATTTGAAACTGTCTACTTCTTCAAGCTGACAGCATCAATCTCGGAAGGTGTCTCCGCTTGGGCAGGGATGCCGCTAGAAAGTAATGTGGTCTTCCCAGCGTTTATGGATGAGCCAACAGATTTAGCGACCTAAATCACCCCTGACACAATAGACTGTAGGTAACTAAAGCTGGAAGCCAGTAAGGCGATATAATTGGCGTAGTCAAGATCAGTCAGCCAGCGTCCGGGTGCAAGCTTAACACCGTCCTCTTTACGTAGGGTCTTCCGGAGAATCCAGTCAATAGCGTAGTTGGACAGAATTGGCGAGAAAAATAGTCTTGTCGAACGGAGACTGAATAGTTAAATGTTGTAAAAAATAGTCGTGGTCCAGAACGCGTGCAGTTGTAGAGCCTTAATCACAGCGATGATTTTTTGTGGTACGCCATCTATTGCCATCACCTGCCAGAGGGATTCACGGTAAAGGGGAATGAAGGCGGCAGAAAAATTAACAAAGCAGACGGCCGTCGGTTGTTGGTAAATATAGCGAACGCTGCATGTGGTAATAGTAGCCACAAGTTCATAGAGTTAACTGCTGTGCTCACATTTGACTCTAATGCAACGCGATGACAAAGCCTTTATTTAGAGAAAAAAGGAAAATGACATCGACCAGATCAAACTTACAAGGCATGTGAGAAGAGAGAGATGTCCCAGCATTAAATCACCCTCATCTTCATCACCAGCTGCTGCCTGAGCAGTGTTCAGTTCGCTCAAGTTGTACGTGTGCACATATCCTCCTTTCTCCCCAACGAGTATACAGGAGTCATCTGGCGTGATTGCGGCACAACTTGCCCTTCGCGGCACTTTGCTGTTAAGTGGAGTTAGGTGGGCAGAGTTTAAACAGACATACTATTCACCACGATAGCTCCAAACACCGTCTACTGATTCGAAGACCAGGACTCGTTTGCAGTCGTCGCAAAGAACCAAGTAGCGTCCAGATACAGGGGAGAGTGCACAGGCTGTGACACCTTCAACTTTGATTGGCTTATCTGACTCACTAGATGAATAGAGGAAATGTCTGTACACAAAACAATTGCTTAATCTACCTGAATAGCTTGTCAAAGGCAAGGCTCTGGGAGAGAGTTCTGAAAATGGGAAATTAATTCGTCAACAGAAGGCTGATGCAAACGACCTTACGCATGCTTGTAGGTACTGATCTGAGGTCCGAGAATCAGTGAAACTTCTGAGGAGCGGGGCAGGGAAGTGAGCATGGCGGAAAACTCAAAAATGGAGGCTGGGGAAGAAATATAAATAAATATAGGTAGTAGATATATAATTATATTTTGAATTATATATGAATACAATAATATATAACATTATTAGGGGGGTTGACGGATTTGAATAATGCAATTAACCTAATTGTGAAAAATTAGTGGCCTCGGTGGGATTGGAATCCACCTCGGCAGGGAAGGACTTAGTACAGTCAACACTTTACCAAAAGAGCTACGAAGATACGCCGAAAGCCATTAATTTAATTACACTTGGGTTGACTTACCCGCCTAGCCTACTGCACGTATGGAATACGGATACAGCAAGCTGACTGCCCAGGCAAGGATTCTTAAGCTTCTGGCTTTATGATTCCCTAAGCAGTACGCTGGGTGGGTAAGTCGACCCAAGTGCCTTCGTAGCTCAATTGGT